TGGGTTTCTCTAATCTAAATACAGTAATATGGCATTGAAGGATAAATGTTTACATTTTCATTTCCTTTAAGACAGGGGTGTCAAACTGCTGGCCCTTGGGCCGGATGCGTCATGCAAAAACCACACCAACCCCAGCTCCGGCAATGGGAAAAAGTCACGATACATCACGGCACGTCACATGACACTGAGAGTTTGACACCCCTGCTTTAAGATATATTCATGGAAGAAAGTTTCCAAATTATTGTGTGGTCTGGCCCTAGTTAGTGAAGAAGAATGAAGAAGACAGTTATAGCTATATGATCAATTGTCATTCTAATTTTGTAATCAACAGCACTAAAACAGAACTTTTCTTGCCCCCTCAGAAAAACAAGGACTTGTGAAGTCATTGGTACTTCCTGAGATTAGTTTTCTTGCAGACATTTCGTTACCAAACTTGGTAACATCATCAGTGCTAGAAGAGAGTTGGGTTTGATCTCATTTTATATATAAGTGGCTTGCCCTGTCAGTGTTGGTGGAAATGGTCTTGATGGTTCCTTGATTAGGCTATTGTTTGCAAGAAACATTTGCAAGAAAACTGCCAAACTCAGAGAGCACCAAGGACTCCATAGTTTCACTCTGAGCTACAAATATTCTCTTCTATTGAAATAAGGAATTATTCCCTTTATGATGTACAGTACATGTTTATTTATTCTGCATTTTCCCCCTTTAACAAGTTATTAAAATGATGTATTATAAAGTACTGCAAGTTAAAAATGTTATTTTTAGATGTAGCTTTCTTTCATGATTGTCACAGGATAATTGATATTTAAACTTATTCTATTGCCTTCTATTTTTATACTGAATTCTTCAATCATACATTCTGTCAGGCCATCTTTTTTCTCAGAGGAAGATATTTCATCAGTGCATTGACCATGGCCAATATATTTTCAAAAGAGTAAACAGATGGGAAATATTGGGAAACTAATGAATGATAGGTAAATAATCAGCCTACCCCTCTGTCTATCTTCAGAGCAAAATGTCTCCTTAGTAGTCACTTGATTTTCAGGATTTTTAATGATTTCAACTGTTTTGTTTCTATACATGAATATTAACACTGTACTTATTCTCCTTACTCTTTTAGTAATGTAACATTATTCTTTTTTACTTAATAAATTTATGTTTCTATTCTATTCCATCTCACTGTTCTACTG